CACATTAATATTTGTTAAATTAAATTTAATATAACTCTTAAATTCAATGAAAATTATCTACAAAATTAATTTTTAAAGTGTAATATAATTTATTACGGAGTATCATAATTATAAGTCATTGTTGTTGATAACTGTTTTTCTACTTAGCTACTCAAACGGGGAATAAGTATTAATGAAACTAGTTAAGCGGAAGACTCGCGAGTCATATTCACGAGATACATCAAAGAAAGTTGTTTAAATAACGTGTTATCAAAATTCTAGGAAATTCTTCATCATAAATATAAAAGTCTTATTTGTAATTCATCCCGTTAAATTAATCTCAATAACATTTCTTTCGTGTGTAGCAAAGAAGAAATACAAAAAGAAGGAATTTTATCATTTCATCACTTAAAAGATATAGGTCAAGTATCAATAAGGAACTAAAAGATAGAATGCATCGATATAGGAGCTTAATATTTGAAACCTGTCAATCTAAGACCTAATACCATAGATTTTGATTTATTTAAATTTTTTATTGAACTCTGTTACTAATTTGTGATGGTTTTATATTCACAATTTTTTAATAGTAAAAAAGTTTATTAGTTTTATAAGATTGAATGGTATTTAATTTTTAAATTAAAAATATTAAAATTCATGATATTTTATATCTTATGTAGAACTTGTGAGCTGAGTATTCTCTCTTAACTACTCTCAATAATATTTATTCCATGATGGAGCAGCTAAGCAGAAAAGTAACGATCAAGAATAATAACTTATAATAATATGTGTTTTAATTTAAAAATTAATTTTATAAACAATTTTCATTGAATTTAAGAGTTATATAAAATTTGATTTAACTAATATTAACGTGAGGGGGCAAAATTAAGAATGATTCAAATTCAAGGGGTAACTAATTGAATTTTGAAATACAAAATTGCTAGTAATTATAACATAACATGATAGGCTAGATTTTGTCTTTAAAATATTCAATGAAATAAGGGTCAGATTGGTCCTCGAAATTGCATAAAAAGATCAAATAAGTTCTTACTGTCCGGCCGTCGCCATTTGAGAAAGTTCCCGGTGGAAATTTTTGATGAAAGTTTTTAAACATCTTATTCATTAAGTCTAGTTTACTTATACCAAATTTCAGCTAAAACTTCAATCGGGAAGACATTCAAATGAATTCTTGAAGGTAACTGCGCTTTAAACTGCGCAGTTCTCTTCAAGACTTCATTTGAATGCCTTTCTGATTAAGTTTTAGCTGAAATTTGGTATGAGTAAACTAGACTTAATGAACAAGATGTTCAAAAACTTTCATTAAAAATTCCACCGGGAACTGCCCGAATGATGAGGACGGACAGAGCCTTCTATATAAGGATTTATTTGACTCTTTTTATGCAAATTAGAGGACGAGACCCTTACCTCAATATTGAATGTAAGACCGTTCCTTTTTCCCTTAAAAATCAACCATGTATTCCACGATGTGGGGTCCAGGAAGATTGTACAAGACCTAATAGGATGGCTTTTTCTTGGCTCCAGAACCGTCTGTAAAACTTGTGGTAATGCATCAATCGTCTTACGTCCAAAATTAGCATTCCAATTTCAAATTTTCAACCAACGTCCGGTCTTGTTTTTTAGTCTGATATTAAGAACCATGGAATATAATGGTACCATATTTGAATCCGGAGAATGGAAAGAACTGTAAAATTTTAATATGGTAAATTGGTAACAAATAAACCACTGTTTTATATTACCTCCGTCTCGGTGGACTTGCCAAGTTTGAAGTATGTGAGAAATAAAGAAAGTAAAAGTTGTGTGGGTGATATTTGTGCGGAGAGAAATATGTTGAATCACAAAATAGTTGGTAAACAAATTATACATAGAATAAATTAAGAGAGTTTATCTTGAATTATCTTGAACCGTTCTAAAAATGATTTTAGATATGCTTACATGCATATCTACGCCCATACACATGTGTGTGGAATACATTACTGGTATCCCAAGAACCGTTATGTACTACCTCCGTCCCTTAAAACTTTGACAAAGTTGACCGGTACGGAAAATAATAAAGTAAAAAATGTGTGGTTGAGGTTTGTGAAGAGGAGAGAGAAATAACAGAAACCACAAAATAATTGATTAAAAAGGAAAGATGACAAAGTTTTAAGGGACGGAGGGAGTATTTCTCAATTTTCAAATTACATTATTGTACCATATCGTGAACATCGACAACATAACGTGTAGTTGAATTTTTTGAAATACTAGTAGCTTAAAATGAAAAAGGAAATGAAAAAACCATTATTTTAAGTCTAGCTCTCAAATCATATCAAAGAATGTACTCCCTCCGTCCCATAAAATAAGTCTCATTTCAATTTGGATCGGAGTTTAAGAAAGTGAGAATAAAGTGGAAATGTATGGTTGTGGTTGAATAAGAAAAAAATAAATGAATGTTAGCCACACAAAACTTTCCAAAAAGGGAAATGGGAACAATTTTTTGGGACGACCCAAAAAGTAAAATGAGACTTATTTTATGGGACGGAGGAAGTATTTAATTAGATTGATATTTTCAAGTCGTCTTTCAAGTCTGATCTTGTTTGGTTTCACAAATGTCCGTTACATGTGTTTTTTACTAGTGTCGGTCTATATTCTGGCCTCACTTGATCTGATTTGATTTATTTATGTAGGACTATCTGATCTATTTATATCTGATCTATTTTTAATTTGGACCTTCTTATTAGTTACTATATGAACGAATAAAAAAGAGAGCAAAGAAGAAAGTTAAGATTAATAAAAGTGAAATTAACACATAATAAAAAGCATTTCAAAAAATAATACGAGACAATTATAAAAGGGGTTAGGTCACCAATATTACTAAAAATTAGTAAATGGACAAAAAAGTTAACTTTCTCTTTAATTTTCAAAAATGTGACTAATTAACATTACACTTACTAAATTACACCTGACCCCTAGTGACTATCGAACAGTGATCTAGTCCGTCACAGTGACATACCATTCAGTGACCTCCGTCACAGTGACTTCCTGTTCAGTGACTAACGTCTGCCCATTTGGTGACCAACATCTGCCCGTTCAGTGACCAACGTCTGCCCGTTCAGTGACCAATGTCCGCCCGTCCAGTAATCAACATCTGCCGTCCAGTGATCACCTCCTGCCCAGTGACCAATGCCGCTGCCCAATGACCAATGTCGCCCTCGCCAGTGACCAACATTGCCCTGGGCAGTGATCAACGCCGCACTGACCAGTGACTATCACCGTACCAAACCAGCGTCTTCGGCGTCCACAGATTACAGCCCCACCAGCCCAGCCTCAACCCGCCCCTGCCCCCGCCCCTGCCCCTTTCCCAGCCTCCTCTACCTGTCCCCTGCAATTGCCGCACTCATTCCCCCCAATTGATGGCCGCCGCACCCACCACAGAAGTTAACCGCAGCCGCAACCACAAGGCGAGCGCAATCCGCCGCCGCCCTAACCCCAGCCATCGCCGCTTCCCCATCCCCTACCATAGTTGCCACCATTCTAAATCTAGATCTGATTTGTTGCTCGACATCAGTCACCCTTCGATAATGTAGTCTATAAGCGTCTGCCGCCTCCCTCTGATGGAGATTACAACATCGGCGATGGAGAAAATCGAGGAGCAGAAAAGAAGAGGACGAAGAAGAGCCGATTTGTTGTTGCTACTGTTGCTGGTCACCTTCGTCGATATGGAGTCGCCTCCTCCGGTGTGAATAGCCGTCGTCTGCTGTCGCACGATCGCACCAGTGGAGTTAGGTGCTCCTCGCCTGACACGAATAGGGATGGACTCGGGCCGGGTGGCCCGACCCGGAACCGGCCCAAGACCGGTACTGTTCCGGCCCGGCCCGACCCGGTGGCCCGGTCAGTGACCGGTCCGGGTAGGCCCGGCCCGTGGGTTTTCCGGTGCGGGCTCGGGTCACCCAAAACAAGGCCCGACCCGGCCGAGCCCGGTTTGGGCCAAAAACTATTTTTTTTTTAATTTTTTTTAAATTTTCGGGTTGGGCTGGGTATTTTGGGCCATTTGGGGTGGTTTGGGGGGTTGGGGTGGGAGGGGGGTTAATTAGGAAGAGGAAAACAAAAAAAATATAATGGGCCCGGCCCGGCCCGGCCCGGACCCGAGTCCATCCCTAGACACGAAGAAGCCCTCTCCTAACACGAAGAAGAAAGCTCACGTAGGGAAGAAAATGTCGATGGGTGAGAATATTGTAATGGGCATTTTAGACTTTTCATTTAAATTTAGTCATATATCCGTCCAAAATAAAAACTGCTCCTATTTTTGTCCCACTAGAAGCTTGGAGTACTAGTTAGGAGTGGACTCGGGCCGGTTCGGGCCCGGTTCGGGCCTGGGCCCGGCCGGGCCTCGGTTCAAGAAGGGGAAGCCCGGAACCGGCCCGGGTAAACCCCGGGTCCGGGCCGGGCCTCGGGTATTTTTTTTTTTTTTTTTTGGGGGCTTTTCCTAGTTAACCCCCACCCCTCCCCCTCACCCCCAAACCAACCCTAACCACCTCAAATGGCCCAAAATAACCAGCCCAACCCAAAAACTCAAAAAAAATTCAAAAAAAAAAATTAAAATTGGCCCGGCCCGAACCGGCCGGGCCGGTTCACCTTTTGAAGGGCCCGAGCCCGAACCGAGAATCCACCGGGCCGGGTGGCCCGAACCGCCCAACGAACCGGTTCCCGGGCCGGTCCGGGCCCGCACAGTGGCGGGCCGGTTGACCCGGCCCGAGTCCACCCCTAGTACTAGTTCGGTCATTATTTCATTATAAAAACGTTATATATGTTCAGAGTTGGAAATAAATACTACTCCCTCCGTCCCGCTAACAATGGAACAAGAGAGAGTTATTTTTTTTATGGAACAAGATGGAGTGACACGCAAATTAATAAAAAGTGATTTATGTGATAAAGTAAGAATAAAGTAAGAATGATTTAGAGGCACACAAACTTTGTCAAATTTGGTATGAGACAATCTTAGTGGGACGGACCGATAAGGTAAAACGGGAAAATCATAGCGGGACGGAGGTAGTAAAACCAATTGCACATCTACAAATAAGCTCTTTATTACAGGCCATATTACTGTACTAAACGTCTAATTAAACGTATAACAAACTGTCATCGTCAAACTTGAAAGAACAATCAACAATAACAGTAAGCCAACATTCCCAATCATACTACTAACCCTCCATTCATTCTAATTTCATCAAACTCATCTCCACACGCATACGCACTACCAGTACATTCCGTGCACGCTAAGTATACATAAATCCTACGGAGTATTAAGATACTCTTCAGAAAGAAAGCAACTACATGGTTTCCTACCAATATCTTACATATGGCTAATCTCTGCTTAAAAAGGAGAAAGCCAATTAGGAAGGCAGGCAAGAAATCATTCTTGCCCTGTATTGGGTGTGACCAAACACGTCCAAACATCCCAACCACAACCATATACACACACTAAGCCTGGAGGATGCACAAAAATAATAACGCACCCCCAGTCAAAGTACACTACAACCACATACCTATATTTTACACACATGGAGAGAACACCACCGCTGTATAGGAGGACCGATTATCACTCTCTATTGTTTAAAATGCGTCTTCTCCCCGATTATGTTGTCGGAGTAACTTGATTGACCTTTTGAGATGGAGAGAGCGGGCTTGAGACGGGGAGAGGAAACAGGAAGTGGGATCTGGGATATGAAGATGATGTCCCCATAGTAACAATCTCTTCTAGTGAAGGAAGAGGGAGGGGTTCTTGTTTAGGTGTGAATTCAAATGAGAGATCTCTGTTGCTTGATAGTGCAAGTAGCTCTTTCTCTTCCAGGCCTTTTGCAGGTCCCTCGCTGCAATGCTCTGAACCGTATTTCGCTAGCGCATCTTTGAATTTCTTGATCTGTTTCATTTCATTAGATCATCGCCATCTTTATCAAATTGTTTAACATCAATTGATTTTTTCAAAAATATAAAATCACTTATAGTCCTATGACTATCATGGCACTCCCTAACTTTTGTTCCCCCCCCCCCCCACCCACCCCCACTTTTAATGCACACTTTTGTACACATTGGGACTTGGGTTTCGTTTCAAATATTTTAGGAAATAAATTGGGCATTGTCTGTATAAATTGTGAATTTTCTAGACTTCTTTTGTGGGATTTATCCCGCTACTGTCTAGACTCTAGATGTATCATGAGTAGTAAGAAATCCAGATATGGACAAAAAATATGAAAGAATGTAGTCAAGGATAAACACTAGATAGACAAAACCTCACAGTTGTGGGATTAAAGTGGAAATTTTTTTCCAAAAAATTTTAACCAAAAAACACCTGATCAAAGTAACTTCATTTATAGTGAACAGAAGCATTTCTGGTCATAATAATCTCATGCATTTCCTAAGAGAAGAAAAAATGAAAAGATGAAGTAACTCACAGTGGCATTAGTGCAGCTGAAGCTACAAACACGGCCTTTATCTCCTCTGTAAAAACGGAAAAGTGGAAGAACATGAACATTAAGGCTATGGCACATGGATTTGTGCTCCTCATAGTTGACCTGCAGAAACTGTACATCTGGATTCATCTCTGCCAGTTGGCATATCTGAAGATAAAGACATCGAAACATGACGGTTTAACAAATCAGTTCTGGATCGACCATGAGCATATTAAACAATTTAGTTTTCATTTCATCCACAATTTCTTTTCACAATAACAATCTAATGGAACATTAAGACAAATAGTGTACCTTAGGATGAAGGGCTTTGCAGCCACCGCAGCCAGGGGAGAAGAAATCTACCACCACTAACTTATCACCGGCATTTAATAGAGATTCTACAAGGTCCTGGACACTTGTCACCTCCTTCATGTTGGGTTGAAGACCCTTCTCCCACCATTTCTGAGCTTTCTTAAGTCCGATATTCATCTGCGTACAACGGAATCATAAAATTGCCTTAAGATCATGGATATTAAATCTGTTTTCCAATTCTGAAAAAGTCAAGCTCCTATGATCCAAGACCTAATATGTTGTTTGTATCGTTATCTTATATATATATATATGATGGGGTAGAGTTACTTAAATTGAAGTTTGTGTGCTGAATACAGTCTGTCTCACTGTTGTAACTTGATTGCTCATCTGAACATAATGGGCTCTCATATCATATAAGAATTAGATTTAAAGTTGTATGTTTGCTAATATATCAACCAAACTACTAGTTCTAACAAACTCCGGGTAGACTCGGCATGGTATCTACGAATCCATACCAGACGAAGTGATTTCTTCAGCAAAAAAGATTATTTGAGGCCGGATTATACACACGAACGAAGGATTAATCAAGGATATTAGTGTATATAAAGCCATCCATTGTGATTATTTTAACCATCCAGACTTGTAATTGCTAGGCCTGGGCTATAAATATACATCAGGAACTCAGTAATCCGAGTAAGCTGTAATATCCCTCATAAGAATCCCCAAAAAAGAGCTTGCTTCACAAATGGAAATTCAATAAAGCAAAGATAGAAATACTTATTCATTTTTAGCCTACCTGCCCATTTGAAGATGACAATTGGCGGATTCCGCCGCTTGTGGTGACGGCAACTCCACGGCCATAGAATTCAGAGCTTGGTAAGCGGGGATTCGTATGCCGAAGCTTTACATGTGGAGCGAAATTGTTGGATCTATTGGGAAAAGTGCAAACCCCGTGTTGGTTATGCTGATGAATCGCCGAGTTCCAGTTGCCATTTCCCAGCAAAACAACAAGGCCGGAGGTCTTGATCGCGCCCGCCATGAAATCAAATTGAATTCTGAAAGTGGGTCTGAGAAAACTTTGAAAACGAAGAAGATGATGGTATTCAGATAGAGAATTGCTTTAGTTTCTTCTCAGCCTTTATCCGCTCTATTGCGAAAGAGATGAGGATTATAGGGGAAGACGAGTCATGAAAAAAGGCAACTCAACTGCTGGTTTCGTTTTCTCTGATTTTCAAATAAATCCCCATTACGCGTTCCAGAAGATGCGCTGTCCGGATGAGTTCAAATTTATTTTTGGAAAGTGCTAATTTTAAACGGCTTTCGTAAAAGATGAAAACGATTCTTATTGAGGAAATTCACATTGTGCCCATGTCAATTAGTTTTAGAAAGAGTTAATTATCAAAATAGGATTAAAAGTCATTCACTTTTCACAAATAGGACCAAAAAATAAATTATGTTTGCATATGACTAATTATGTGTAACTTGCACAATTATACCCTTATAGCTATTAAAATATTTTAATTCCTAATAAAATAATAAAAAATAATAAAAATTCGTAAAAAATACTAAAAAATTAAGAAAAACATTTCGATATTAAAAATTTAATTGATTTTTTTTTCAAAAAATTAAAAAAATTAAAATAAAACATAAAAAAAATAAAAAACTCAAAAAAAAAATCGGCGCCGCCTTTGTCGCCTCAGCACCATCACCTCCAGTCACCAGGGGGGGAAATGACAAGTTCATTACGAATGCCATATTTAAGAAAAACATGGCATTTTTCTTCGAAAATGGCATTTTTTTCATCGACCGGAGGTGGTGGTGCTGGGAGGTAGTACAGGTGGTGGGAAAAGCATCCATATTTTTTGAATTTTTTTTTACGGAGTTTTACTTTTTTTATTAATTTTTTTAAAAATAAAATTATTTTAAAAAAAAAGTTTTTGAACCTTTTACTTTATAAAAATTTTATAAATTTTTTAGTTATATTTCTACGAATTTTTGAATTTTTTTCGAATGTATTATGAATTAAAAATTTAATTATGGCTTTTGACTATTTTTAATTCATATTTAATGGAAGGGTAAGAATGGAATGAAAAAATAGGTATGTTTCCAATAGGACTCATATGATCCTATTTTGGAATAAAAACATAGCAATTCCTATTTTAGGTTTTTGCCATAGTTTTAGTCCTATTTGAACTAATTTCTATTTTAGAAATTCACATACGTAGTAAGTTACTTCCATCTTCTTTTTTAGTTCCAACCTTCCCTTTTTCACATTTGACAACGCACAAATTTGATCATTATTATATTTAATTATGTATTTTAAAAAAATCAGATTATAAAACTTGGTAATGAAGCGAATTCAACAACTTTTTTCAAAAAAAAACTCGCACACAATAATAAATAAAAGGAAAAATTGATTGTAATAATCTCAACTATCGATTATCTCAGAATAATCCCAACTTTAGTGACCTTCCGCCAATAATGGTCCACGACCAGATATGACCTGCTATAATAAGTGGATTTTAAATAGAAATAAAGCGTAAAAATTAAAAGTTAAATTATTTATAGGGATTACTTGTTATATCTCTTCTCATCCACTTTAGAAACTATAGGAATTTATTTATAGCCGGTCATGTCGGACCATTATGGGCGGAAGATCACTAAAGTTGGGATTATTCTGAGATAATCGATAGTTGGGATTATTATAAGCGGATCGCCAATAGCTGGGATTATTAAATAAAATTTAGTAATGTAGTAATAGTGTATAAATTTCAATGTTGCAACTAATGTGATAAGGAGGATAGTATATAATAATCTTGCACTTATAGAATTAAATCGTACTACCTGCGTCTATATTAATTTTTCAAAAAAATCATGTAGATTGAGAAAGTGAAAATTATGTGGTTGATGTTGTTTTTATTTGGAGCATTTCCTGTTCTAAATCAGACTTGATTAGATCAGACCATATCAGACTTGAACAATTATAAAATACACAGATCAGACATCTATTACGTACATCAAATCAGTTCAGACCAGACTAGACATATGTTATGTGTGCTTTAAGTTTTTCTACTACCAAAAGAACTTTTGTGAAGAGATTGAAAGAGTTTTTTTTTATTAATGGAGGGACGCAATCCGAGTCATGGAGCAAAATATGTGTCCCGAAGAAGTTAGGAGGTTTGAGTTTAAAATAAATGAGAGATTTTAATTAGCGGCGTTACGCAAACAAACCTGACGCTTTATTAGAGCATCTCCATTGCATAGATGTCTAGTCTAGCTAAAGTGTGACACATCATTAAATTAGACATTCACTAATTTTTTGCTCTTCCAACGGGTGTAGTCTTTGTTGACATGGCAATGAAAAAGTTAGACACTGTGAAAGAGGATGTTTGAGTATAGAAAGGTTGATAGACTTGCTGAATCGGATAAAAATAAGCGAGCATCTCTCTGATTTCTCACGCACGTCTCCTACTCTTTACTTTGTTCCACTTCTTCTCCAAACCTTCAAATCTCCCATTATTTCTTTCCCCATATCTCTTTACCCCCCACTTCGTTACAAACATATATATATGTCCTCAATGCTTTCTTCTTTTTCTTCTGCAATTTCTCACCTCCTCCACCACTCTGCTTCTGAACCCCACCTAGACACAAGAGGCGAGAATATGTTGCTGCTATGGGGGATGGGGAATCACTGCCACTGTGTTTCCCTCCAACAAGGATTTTCTGTAGAAAGCCATGATCGCCTCATCAGATTCTCTTTCTCCTCTATTTTGCTCAGAGCGGCGGAGTTTTGTTCGGATAAACAAATACGGAGTATATCATATTTAGTATTAGGGATGGACCCGGGCCGGTCCGGTTCCGGTTCCGGGCCGGGGCCGGGCGGGCTTTTTTTGCAATTCCTTGGGCCCGGAACCGGCTCGGGTTGCTACCGGGTTCGGGCCTAACCGGGCCGGGCCGGGCCCGGTTCAATACTTAATATTTTTTTTGCTTTCTTGTTATCCCCCTACCCCCCACCCCACCCCACCCCCCAAACCTCCCCAAAACACCCAGCCCAACCCTAGGAAAAGAAAAAAAATTGAAAAAACAAAAAAAAAATGACTCAGGCCCGGCCCAAACCGCCCGGGCCGGTTCGCCCAAAACTGGGCCCGAGCCCGGCCCGCCCACACGGGCTAAAAGCCCGGAACCGGCCAACCGGGCCCGCACAGTAGCGGGCCGGTTCGGCCCGGCCCAGTCCATCCCTATTTAGTATTATTTTAATAAACGTAATTCCAGGTAGACAATTAATTTGGTCGAGAGAGTATGCATTGTAGGCCTCTTTCATATGTTAATGTCTAATCACTCCACTATTTATTAAGTGGACTAGAAACCCTTTTAATAATTTGACATTTGGCATAAATTAATTAGACTAAAACCTATTAGGAACTCCATATCTTTAGTTGGGCGAGTTTTTAAGACAAGATATTTTCATTATTCTATCTTTGAAATGCTTTTATTGGTGATAATTTGTCTTTTAATTGGCCTAATATAATTAAATCCCAAAATATAGTGAAACGAGGGTCGAGGGATAAGGGGAATAGTTGGCAATGGTGTGGACATCTAGATATGTTTTAGCTTATTTAGTGGATGATTAGTTAGTAATAATGGAAAGACCAAACACAAGAAGAAAAGGTAAAGTGCACCAAATTTTATTAATGAACTTAAGACAATTACAACACACTCTAATTCAAAACTGAGAGTTTACTGAAGAAAGTAGAGAGAGAAGCTAGGCTATTGATTGCAAGGTTGCCAACCCCTTACAACTAGGCTTGGATTCGGGCCGGGTCGGGTCTGGGTCGGGCCTAGGCCCGGCCGGGCCGCCGGTTCCGTATCCATGGGTCCGAGACCGGCCCGGACATGACCGGTTCCGGGTCGGGCCGGTTCCGGGCCGGACCGATTCTGGTTCATTTTTTTTATTCTTATTTATTTCACCCCTTCCCCCCCCCAACCCCCCAAACCCCTCGGAAATACCCAGCCCAGCCAACCTAACCCCAACCCAAACCAAAATAATCAAAAAATAAAATAAAAAAAGGCCCGAACCGGGCCCAGCCCGGCCGGGCCGGTTCCCCTTTTCCCTTACCCGTGCCTGGAACCGGTAGACCCCCCGGGCCTAGGCCCGAACCGGAACCGGAACCGATTTCCCGGACCGGGCCCGCACAGTAGCGGGCCGGGCCGGTTCCCAGGCCAGGTGGCCCGCACCGAGTCCAAGCCTACTTACAACTGTTAGAAATATTTTGTGGTGTTAAATCATGTTTTAATTAGTTGTATTTGTGTTGCATTTAATCTGATTAATAGGATGGGCCAATTCAATGTTAGAGGCCCATTCTTTAAACTTTATCACTATTATTGAACCTATGGGTAGCCCTATTAATGGAATTTACTGTGTAAATAGTCTTAGGGGGGTGTATTGTATTAGGAATTAGTGGCAAAATTTTAAAAGTCCATGAATTTTAAAAGTTTAGGTGTATTCAATGTAGACTTTTAAAAGTCTATAAAAGTCTAGGTATATTCAAAATTCCGTTCATTCTTATGGATTTTTAAAATCATGGATTCTCGTGGACTTTTAACTCATTTTTAGTACATTAATTCTCTTCGATTGTCTCTTCTCCTCACTAAAGGTTTCCGTGGACTTTTCTTATATCGGTTCTTCATCCCGTCCCCCACCCCACCTTGCCAACTCTCCTCTTCTTTAGCCAAATCATCCCTTCCCCTTCGATCATTCTTCTTCTTCAGCCTAGCTCGCTCCACCCCTCTCTTTCCATTCTTTTTCTTCTTCAGCTTGCCCCGCCCCCTCGATTCGTTAATCCCATACTGGTTCGATTCTAAAAATTTCTAGAAGAACTGGTATAAGAATCGATAATATTACATCAGTGCAATTCTGGTACGTCGTCACTTAACCATTAAGAAAATAAATATTTTAACTATTACTTTCTTTCATCGTTAAATAGCTAACACATAAAAATATAATTTCAAATTAATAAATATATAACCGTAAATAAGTACACAAAATTTTACAAGATAGAAATGAAAAGAAAACAATTATTAAGAAGATAAACTCGATTGCAACTGTGCTTGTACCACATGTAGCAATGAGTGTAACGATTAATGTTCTTACTCATTAATAAAATGACCAAAATTCTTGAGCATTCTTGAAACTTTGAGTTTTTTTAATAAAAATAAATTTGGATTCTTATGCTTCATTTATTCTTGTAGAACTTTGTGTTGCAATATGAATTTCATTTGTTTCATCTATTT